GGCCGTGAAATTAGGGATGTCACAGTTGGTATCAGAGCATTAGTTTAAGCGAACTAGGAATATGTAGGATTTCTAGACTTAAACTTAGAATGATAAGCGATGATTGTGAGATGAGTGTCTATTAAATTTTAGACACGAGCACTAGCTTATTATAGGAAAGATGCCTAAAGTGCTATTATGTGCTAAATGATTTATGATTTAGCTATAATGCTTATATGTTATTAATTGATCGGATCAATGGTCTGTCGCTGACCGGATCTGGAAAATGTGTTCAAATTTTTAAACGTTCGACTACGATATTAGAACTAGCATGTATCGCTTCGGAGTGACAAGGAAGATTTAAACGTCGATCGTAAATAAAGATCTAAATTCACCTACTTTGGTGTATAGATCAACATGGCGAGAAACCGAAGTGGACTCAAAAACGCAAATAGAAATAGGAATCAGCAGCCTCAACACCAAGTGATTGAGCAAGTACCTATATTAGCAGCTGCACCTAAGCCAATCACGATGGCAGGAGTACAAGTCATGATTCGTGCTATGATGGCCGAACAGAGGGAAGAAATGAGGCAAGCGTTTCTCAATAATAGGAATGAACATACGATGCTTTTTAAATAGCCTGAACTGAATAACAGACAGTCGAAAGAAGGGAACTACAGTAGGACCGTTGGCCAAGCTGAACCACCAGTGGTTAGGAGGAACAACCAAGATGAAGGAGTCGAGAGGAACGGATGCAAGTATAAGGACTTCACAATGTGCAAGTCATCGACTTTCACTGGGAAAGAATATCCAATTGGAGTTATGAACTGGATCTCAGAGATGGAGTTGGCCTTCATAACATGTGGTTGCAAGGGCAAGCTACAAAACATATATGCAGTGCGTCAGTTTAGAGGTGGCTCTGTTCGCTGGTGGAACACTCTAGGGAAGATCATAAGCCCCAATGAGCCACTGCAACTGACGTGGGCAGAGTTCTTGGTGTACTTTAAACGCAAGTTCTGCTCAGCCCAAAACATGTTGGAACTAGAGAATCAGTTTCTGACACTGAAGAAGGACAGCATGTCCATTAACGAGTAAACTAATACCTTTACAGACAAAATGGAGTTTGATTTATGCATTGTCCCTGAGAAGTTGATGAAAATTGATAAGTATATGAAGGGACTACCATGGAAGTATGTCGTGCCAGTACGCCAGACACCTACTCTAGAGGTAGTTATCTAGGCTGCCAAGTCTGTTGGGGAGGTGATCAAGGGAAGAGCCGCAGGCAAGGTTAAAGTTGGCAAAAAGAGGAAGTTCGAAGGATCTTCAAGGTCCAACAAAAAGAGCAAGTCTGGTTCAAGGAAATTTGGAGGAGAAGGCGAAGCTAAGTTGTGTGAGAAGTGTAAAAAAACACTTTGGGAAATGTAGCGAGGAGGTGACTTGCTACAAGTGTGGAATGACTAGGTATTACGCCAACACATCCAACAAAAGGGTGTACTATGGATGTAACGAAGAAGGGCACATTTCAAAAGACTGCTCGGAGAAGAAGGAAGCAGCAAGGACCAGCATTCCACTGAGGCCGTAAGCGAGAGCTTTCCAGATGACCCTGAAAACCGCAAAGGATGCAACAGATTTTGCTTCAGGTACCTTTCTTGTAAATGGATTGTCTGCCAATATATTGTTTGATTTCGGAGCGAATTACCTCTTTACATCACAAAATTTTGGTAGAAGACCAGAATTGCTTGTAGATAAACTTGATAATACTCTAGTTGTAGAAGTTGTTAGTGGCAAATTCATACCGGTTAGTGATTGCATGAGGAGCTATTACCCATTGAGTTGAACGAAAATGAATACCATGAGGAGCTATCGAAAATGAATACCATGAGGAGCTATTACCCATTGAGTTGAATGGTTTCGACATCGTACTTGGAATGGATTGGCTTAGTGCCAATGATGCCGAGACACTATGCAAGAAGATGATAGTAAGTGTTAACCCTCCTGGAAAAGAGTCATTTATGGTGTATGGGGACAAACGTAGATTGAATTCTGGAATCATTTCCCTGATGAAAGCCAAAAAAAATTTATCTAAAGGATGCACATCATACTTGGCATTTGTGATAGATGCAAAGAAGGAGAAGAAAAAAATACAAAGAATACCAGTGGGGTGTGACTATCCGGAAGTCTTTCCCGAAGATCTTCCTGAATTGTCGCATGATAGACAAGTGGAGTTTCGAATAGACTTGTTACCAGGATCAACACTAATAACGAAAGCACCATACTGATTAGCACCGACAGAGATGAATGAGCTTATGATGCAACCTCGGGAGTTATTTTACAACGGTTTCATTAGACCTAGTTCATCACCCTGGGGAGCTCCGGTGTTATTCATAAAGAAGAAGGATGGAAGCATGAGGATGCACTACAAGAAAAATACCCTTTAATGACGCGCAAACAATGACACTCGCTGATTTATGATATGCATTTTTGTATGCCCTTAAAAATAATGTTAGCCTTCCAAAATTTGAAGGGTAGTGGACACGCATTTTAACGCGCCCTAAAGTTAATGTCCAATAAAAAAAACACGGAGGCACCTCTCATAAAAAGAGCGTCCTCTACAAATGTCACTTTATAATTTTTACTAAACGCGCGTTTCTGGGCGGGACTCCTTGATAGGTAAGGGGGAAATGAAATCCCCCAAAATTTTGAAAACCCGCCATCCTCTTCCTCTGTACTCTCTACACCCGCCAGATCGACTTCATTCTCTCCCTTCCTTCTCTCTGCAAACCCCTTCCTCTACGATCAACTTTCACTTCTTTCTCTGTGTAAACCCTAATCAAACATAACGCATTTGCAATGGTAATGTCTTCTTTCACAAAATAGACGATTGAGCGAAGAACTAGGGCTTCTGATGAATCGAACATCACCAACAACGATAGCTACCCATCACAATTTGTGTTTTCTCTCAGACTCCACCATTCCAACATCGCACCACAACAGTGCCTGCATCTACTGCATCTTCTCCGTCATTGGATTCTGGTTCTGGAAAGCTCTCTCTTTTTGAAGCAGAAGGCACAATCTCAGCTTCTTGGAATTGTTTGTTCTATTTACTGAAGAAAGCATAACATAATCAGGTAACATTTCGAGCTGCAAATGCTGTAACTACTGCTCTACCATTTTTGGTCTTCGGTATCCATCGTCCATGTGAACTTCGCCTAAATCCAACTTCACTCCACTCTCTAGGTTCGTTTTCTCCATAATCGATGCATCCACTGTCTCGTCTCTCCCCTCCACCGGGTTTTCTCTCATCTCTCTCCTCCATAGATGGATATTATCGGAGACGTGAAAGGAGTAACCGAAGGAAACCCTAAAACTACTCTAATTGCGCAAACACTTCTTCTCCTACGACTTTAAGTAAGTCTCTCCTCTATAGAGTATAATTTCTTCTTTCATGTTTTTTCATCTTTAATCTTTCAAACCCCTTTCTTGTTCTTCTTTCAGTGTTAGAATTTATGTGGATTTAGCTCTTTGATTTTATAAGATCTTCATAAACTGTTCGGGTTTCTTGATTTTTGGAACCTGCATGTTTATTTTTCTTCCCAATCTGGGCATTTTCATCTGTGATTAGTAAACAAATTAGGGCTATGATTCTTAAACATCCAATCCTTTTGCTTTTGTACTTGTTCTTAATGTTTTTCTTTTTTAGAAAATTCCATCGTCTTAGTTCTTGATCTTGACTTTGAAGACACCCATGTGTTGTTTAGTTCAAATTCAGTTTCAAGATCAAGATTCTTCATCAACTAAATCAACTTGTCAATCTTACCCTGAAGTTGCTAGTGCTGGAGAAAATTACCATTTAGCGTTTGAGAGTTGGAATTGAAGATATGAAATGGAACTGAAGCTCATTTAGTTGCAATAATGGTCACATCTGTGATCTGTTATTGCTAGGAAAATGGGTCCCAATCATCAATTACAGCAGCAAGGGTAGTGCCCTAAGCTTCTTCAGTTCCAATTGAAGGTTTAGTAAATTAAAGCTATAACCGAGGTAATCATCTGGGTATCAAAGTTACTGGGATGCAACATACGCAGATGGATTGACAAATTTTCGTGAACATGGGGATGCTTGTGAAGTTTGGTATGCATATCTAATTGACTCTGACATATACCTTCTTTGACAAGATGCTTTTTTGTATGACTTTTTAAATTCTTTCTAAAGGTTTGGGGGAGATGTCATGGAAATGGTTGCTTCATGGACAAAAGGACTATGTGTTGACATTTCACAAAGACATTTACAAATTCAACATAAAAATGATGACTCTATGATTTAGCAGGATGGAGTGTTCTTGATGTTAGAACAGGCAATGGGCTAGTTCTTCAAGAGCTTGCTAAACAGGGGTATAGTATTATACATAATAACACTTATTTCTCCTTTTGGTATGATGATAATTGATAAATCATTCTTTATTACTTTTGATGTTAGTATAAATAGGTTCTCTGATCTCACTGGAATACATTATAGTGAATGAGCAATTAACCTTGCTAGAAGCCTTGCTAATCGTGATGAATTTATTGGTGTCAAACTATTGGTTGATGATGTTCTTGATTTTTTATTTACTCATATTTAATGTCTATTGGTAAGTTACAACTTGCATTTACTCATATTTAATGTTTTTTATTTTTGATTTTACAGCTCCTGATATACATCGATCCAACATCACAAAGTTCCAGGGATATGCTTGGTATTGACACTCGAGGTTAAAAACTTCAACGTCATGTCAAGGATAAATATAAACTTATTTCGAGTTTGGTCCATTATACCCTTGGTTGACATTCATAAAAAACTTGCTGGAAGTTACTAAAGAAACAGTCGTTGCCACCTTTGTGCTATTCATCAGGTGTTAAATGGCTTCTACCAACGTTTGACATGGTGGAGTTGGTAGTTCTAGAGTTGTTACCCGCTTGAATTATTCATCTAGTTTAGTTGACTGGCTCGGGAGAGAGATGCTTGAGATGCGACAAGGTAGAAGATGATGATGAAAGAGTCAGTGCAAGTTCCTTTTCCCTTATTATAACTTTTCTTATATATCATTCATAAAATTCTTATATATCATCAGTTGTTATTGATAATTTGTTCATGTTGGATTTATATTGCAGGAAAGTGAACCAGAGATAGTACATGGTGTGGGTTCTGAAGCAAGGCATGTTATAAGAACAACAACACACCCGGTCTTCTTTCTGACTCTGTCATGCAGAAATCGATTGCATCACTCTGTCATGGTGTGGGTTCTGAAGCTTGCTGCCACCTTTTGGAGCTGTGTGGAGCATTCCACTGAGGCCGTAAGCGAGAGCTTTCCATATGACCCTGAAAGCCGCAAAGGATGCAACAGATTTTGCTTCAGGTACCTTTCTTGTAAATGGATTGCCTGCCAATATATTGTTTGATTTCGGAGCGAATTACCTCTTTACATCACAAAATTTTGGTAGAAGACCAGAATTGCTTGTAGATAAACTTGATAATACTCTAGTTGTAGAAGTTGTCAGTGGCAAATTCATACCGGTTAGTGATTGCATTAAAAACATCGTCCTCGACTTGAACGAAAATGAATACCATGAGGAGCTATTACCCATTGAGTTGAATGGTTTCGACATCGTACTTGGAATGGATTGGCTTAGCGCCAATGATGCCGAGACACTATGCAAGAAGATGATAGTAAGTGTTAACCCTCCTGGAAAAGAGTCATTTATGGTGTATGGGGACAAACGTAGATTGAATTCTGGAATCATTTCCCTGATGAAAGCCAAAAAAAATTTGTCTAAAGGATGCACATCATACTTGGCATTTGTGATAGATGCAAAAAAGGAGAAGAAAAGATACAAAGAATACCAGTGGGGTGTGACTATCCGGAAGTCTTTCCCGAAGATCTTCCTGAATTGTCGCATGATAGACAAGTGGAGTTTCGAATAGACTTGTTACCAGGATCAACACTAATAACGAAAGCACCATACTGATTAGCACCGACAGAGATGAATGAGCTTATGATGCAACCTCGGGAGTTATTTTACAACGGTTTCATTAGACCTAGTTCATCACCCTGGGGAGCTCCGGTGTTATTCATAAAGAAGAAGGATGGAAGCATGAGGATGCACTACAAGAAAAATACCCTTTAATGACGCGCAAACAATGACACTCGCTGATTTACGATATGCATTTTTGTGTGCCCTTAAAAATAATGTTAGCCTTCCAAAATTTGAAGGGTAGTGGGCACGCATTTTAACGCGCCCTAAAGTTAATGTCCAATAAAAAAAACACGGAGGCACCTCTCATAAAAAGAGCGTCCTCTACAAATGTCACTTTATAATTTTTACTAAACGCGCGTTTCTGGGCGGGACTCCTTGATAGGTAAGGGGGGAAATGAAATCCCCCAAAATTTTGAAAACCCGCCATCCTCTTCCTCTGTACTCTCTACACCCGCCAGATCGACTTCATTCTCTCCCTTCCTTCTCTCTGCAAACCCCTTCCTCTACGATCAACTTTCACTTCTTTCTCTGTGTAAACCCTAATCAAACATAACGCATTTGCAATGGTAATGTCTTCTTTCACAAAATAGACGATTGAGCGAAGAACTAGGGCTTCTGATGAATCGAACATCACCAACAACGATAGCTACCCATCACAATTTGTGTTTTCTCTCAGACTCCACCATTCCAACATCGCACCACAACAGCGCCTGCATCTGCTGCATCTTCTCCATCATTGGATTCTGGTTCTGGAAAGCTCTCTCTTTTTGAAGCAGAAGGCACAATCTCAGCTTCTTGGAATTGTTTGTTCTATTTACTGAAGAAAGCATAACATAATCAGGTAACAGTCGTTGCCACCTTTGTGCTATTCATCAGGTGTTAAATGGCTTCTACCAACGTTTGACATGGTGGAGTTGGCAGTTCTAGAGTTGTTACCCGCTTGAATTATTCATCTAGTTCAGTTGACTGGCTCGGGAGAGAGATGCTTGAGATGCGACAAGGTAGAACATGATGATGAAAGAGTCAGTGCAAGTTCCTTTTCCCTTATTATAACTTTTCTTATATATCATTCATAAAATTCTTATATATCATCAGTTGTTATTGATAATTTGTTCATGTTGGATTTATATTGCAGGAAAGTGAACCAGAGATAGTACATGGTGTGGGTTCTGAAGCAAGGCATGTTATAAGAACAACAACACACCCGGTCTTCTTTCTGACTCTGTCATGCAGAAATCGATTGCATCACTCTGTCATGGTGTGGGTTCTGAAGCTTGCTGCCACCTTTTGGAGCTGTGTGGAGCATTCTAGGTGGTTGTAATGGTCAGTCTAAACAGGTTTGCAGTAATGAATTATCAAGAATTAGCATTTTTCATGGGTTTCAACTACAATCTGTTATTTACTTTTTATATGATATAAAGGCATAACATGGGTTTCAATGTTTCATGCAATTCAGAAAGCAAATTAAAACAGAGCTTTGAGAATTTAATATATAGCAACGTCCAATACTAAAATGTAGCCAAGAATTAGTTATTCATCCTTTCAAGATCTTATTTTCTATTTCTTTTTTAACCACCTTTTTATTATCATTATTATTGTAATAATAAAATGTGTTTAAAAAACTGATTCATTTTTTCTTTTTTATTTCTACTCCGTACCCTAACCCCAACTGGTGTTAAAACTCCAGATGTTATTGACCTCCGCAAACATCAACAGCAAAGGAAGGAACCCGAGAAACCTCTATATCAGGTAGCTTTTTCTTTTCATGTTATATATATATATATATATATATATATATATATATATATATATATATATATATATATATATGAAATACAAATGTTTTAATATATATATATATATATATATATATATATATAAATAATATATCCAGTGCCTTTACTTTTATCATTTATGTTGTTTAATTTGGTAAAGGTGCTAGAGGAAAAAGAAGAGAAGATAGCCCCAGGAACTTTGCTTGGAACTACACATACCTATGCAAATAGGTTATATAGTTAGGGAAAACCTCTTAATAGCAATGTACAATTAGATCCTCTTAATACCGATGTATTACAATGTGTTGTATTTTTGTATGACATTAACTTTTGTGCAATGTATTGTATTTTTTTTATATGCTATTTTATTTTCTATTATGAGACATGAAATGCAAATTTAACTTGAAAATTAGTAAATCTATTGATAATTTAAAAATAAAAAAAATTAAAAAAAAAAAAAAAAAACCCTTAAATTTGCGATACGCAAAAATGTGTGTCATATTCATTTATGACATAGTTTTCTTGACAACGGCTTTAATGATACGCATTGCATGTCATAAATGTGCGTCGTCTATAAACGACGTGCAAAAGCGTGTCATCTCTCGTTATGATAGGGCCTTCCTTGACGCGCATTTGCGCGTCGTCTGAGCATTTTACGACGCGCAATGAGCGTCGTAAAAAGCCTTTTTTCTAGTAGTGATGTGAATAGACTACAGAGAGTTGAACAAGGCAACAAAAAAGAACAAGTGCCCATTGCCAATGATTGATGACTTGTTCGATCTGTTGCAAGCTTCGAGCTATTTCTCAAAGATCGATCTTAGGTCAGGATATCATCAGCTGAAGGTGACAGAGCAAGATATTAAGAAACCCGCATTCATAACATGTCTACTGATTACCTTATAATACAAGTAATTTGAAAAGAGAGTATCAACATAAAGTTGAGTGAGTGCATAAGTATTTATGTTTGAAAGTATGTTTTCTATTCTTTGAATATGTAAACTTATTCAGAAAATCCTATATTTTTTGTTGTATATGAAAATTAGTTTTAATCTCATAAAACCATTATGTTTGTAAACCAGTGTTCTATATTTGTATTCCTTAGTAAAAACTATGAAAGTGAGTGTGCCTGGCTCCACCCGCTGTTATTGTAAACTGTAATATAATAGTGTAAATTGTATCTTTGTAACCTAGTACTTTAAAAATGTACTCATGTTTACTTAATTATACACTAATCGTATTGTTAATATCATTTTCATGAGTTATTATAACCATACTATGACTAGATGGCTTGAAACAACGCTTTGAAGGTGTCAAAACTGTTGATAACAATTGTCACACGTAGACATGTATGCCCGGCTGTAGCTAGCAGTCTGAGTGCAAGGTTGTCAATCCCAATATAAATCTACACACATTTGTTTCGATCCCCGACTAGAGATTCTGGTTATACTATCAGGACTTTTACTATGTTGTTTAAATGAATTAACAACCTGAATCTATTGTCTCATAAAAAACATATAGACGTTACGTGTATAATAGTAATGAAAACCCAATCATTCTTAAATGAATGATTCATAGTATGCTCCTGTTTTAGTATATTTGAAATGTATTTGTAAGTTGTATACCCTTGTTTAGTTTTGAATCAAACCCTTATTCTTGTAAAATAGTGTACTCTAGTATACTTGACTCGTGTAGGGGTGTTCACAGGGCGGTTCGGTTCGGATAGTAATAAAATTGTGAACCATGACCACGGGGCGGGTACCTCATGCGCACTAACCGAAACCGAACCGTATTGACAAAAAAACCGAACCGAACCGAACCGTATGAAAGCGGGTAACCACGGTTCGGTTCACGGGTACCCGGTAAAATATAAAAAATTAAATTCAATTGAAACTACAAACTCCATTTTAGTTATCTCTTTTTTAAAATTAGCAAGTTAAAGAGTTTAAAAAAAACATAATGAAGTTTAAAAAACATAATGAATTTCAAATATCATATATTATAAGCTCTCTAATAAATACAATAATAAAAATAACAAGAAAAGCAAATGAATTTAGAATTACAAAATTGGAGTTGTCGATATGGATTTTCGTTTAGGTTATTGGACTCGTAGATCGATAAAAACAATACTAATGAAATAATATTTTTTTTACTTTATATATATATATATATATATATATATATATATATATATATATATATATATTATCAAACGGTTCGGTTCGGGTATCCGCGGATACCTAAATATGAAAACCAAAAACCGACCCGTTGATATTCGGTTTTTTCGGTTTCGGTTTTTTTAGGTTACGGTTTTTTTCGGTTTCGGTTTTTTCGGTTTCGGATTGACCGGTTCGGCTCGGTTTTTCGGTTTTGCGGTTTTTTCGCACACCCCTAGACTCATGAGTTAGTGTTTTTGAATCATAAATTATACCTATTATAATTTATATGTACTTTTTGTATTGATATTAATTGTTCATGAATGAAACCCCTTGCTCGACATGTTACAAAGGGTATTGAAACTAAATCAAATAACCTTTATATTTATATACATACATATATATATATATATATATATATATATATATATATATATATATATATATATATATAACTAAAATTTAAACAACATTTGGACTAATAATTGATACCGTAAGCCCACATCCAAACAAGGAAAATGAAATAAAGTGAGTTATCTGTACTAAGCCCTTTAAATCTTATATATATATATATATATATATATATATATATATATATATATATATATATATATTAATATGATTTTTGGGGAAAAATATAAGTTTATAAAATATTTTAAAGAGTTTAACATTTTAGAAATACTTTTGGTGACTTGATGTCATTTTAACACAATTTGAAACCATTTGATTTGAAGATAATTAAAATCCATTTTGTGAGATATTTTGAAACCATTTGTTGGTAACACAAAATCCTTGTGTTAGACTTGTATCCCACCCTTAAAACTGTAAAACTATGAAAAAACAGGGGTATGAACTCACCTTTTGTGAGTGGTACGATTGATGATATGATATAGGACGTTTATTTCTACAAGTGAAATCCCGTAGCACAAACGAGTCCTATTTAGCATATTATGATATAAATATGTATACATTTAGTGTTCAAAATCATAAGGGTGTATAGGAAACAGCCTATGGTGTAAGAAACACATACCAAAGAAGTGTTAGAATTGAAAATGGAAGGTTGATATGTGTTCACGACCCAAGAAGGGTTCACCGCCCAAGAAGGGTTCACGACCTAGATAGGTATTCACGACCCAACGTTCTTGATGAATGAAGAACACCTGAAGATCCTAAGCAAGTTTGTAAGAATATTCAATGGTTTTTGGGTGGGTTTTCTTCGGGAAAACTAGTGAAATTAACGGGTTTCAGTCTAGTATAAGAAGATTGAATGATGTTTTTGAAATGATAACAAGATCAAGAAATGATAACCGTTAGATCCTATGAAGAACTAGTGATTATCATGTGAATATGATGAGAAAGGATGAGTTTAGCATGTTCTGTGAGGAGAGATGATGTTCTTGAGGAGAGAGATTGTTCTTGGCTGATGATACTTGATAGAAAAGGGTTGGATTTTCATTTGAAAGTGTAGAAATGAATTAAAATCAGCCAAAACATATATATGGAAGGGGTTCACGGTCCAAAGTGGTTCAAGGTCGTGAACCTCGTATGCGGTCTGAAGCCTGGTCACGACCTCGGTTCACAGTCTAAAGGCGGTTCATTGATCACGGCCCGAAGGCAGCAAACAGTTCACGGCCATGCGAGGTTTGCGGTCATGCGAACCTTGTTTGTAGTCCAAAGAAAAGAAAGAAGAAGGGATGCGAAGTTTCTTGGTTTTCAAGTATTTTCCTTCTAATTTCTACCACAAATATTCTAAGGGTTTTAACATGCAAAGGTTATTATTCTAACCTTAATAAAAATCCAAATAATAAAGAGGACTTTAGTTGACCCAAGTTTGACTTTGGTTGACTAGGGTTGACTTTACAAGTAGAAAATAATGGGATGTTACATTATCAACCCGTTAAAGAGAATTTCGTCCCGAAATTAGGACTATAACATTACAGACAGACTAGGGTAAAATATGTGGATACTTGTGTTGCAATTGATCCTCCCACTCCCAAGTTAATTCTAGTCCCCATTCTGCATTCCAGCGAACCTTCACTATCGGGATACGACTTTGTTTGGTTCTCTTGACTTCCCTATCTAGGATTGCTAAGGGTTCTTCCACAAAGTTGAGGCTCTTGTTTATCTCAATCCAGCTGAGTGGAATTATAAGAGTCTCATCGGATAGACACTTTTCGAAATAGAGATGTGGAAGGTAGGGTGTATGTTACTTAGTTCTTGAGGTAGTCGGAGTTTGTAAGTTATTGGACCGATTCTAGCAAGAATCTTAAATGGTCCTATGTACCTTGGATTCAGCTTGCCACGCTTTCCAAAATGTATCATGCCCTTCCAGGGTGAGACCTTCAATAGAACACGGTCACTAATCTGGTATTCCAAGGGTTTTCTCCTTTTAT